GGGAGTGCGCATCGCCAGCTCAGCCCGTCTCACTCGGAGCGCAAGTGAGGAGGGGGTGGCGGGGTGCGCCGAAGTAAATCTGGGGTAGGTGTCTGGAGGAGGGACCCCCAGCTGGGGTAACCCTTGGAAGGGTGTGCAGTTGGGAAGGGGGCTGGGCCTCTGCCAAGGTCGCTTGCAAGTTGATGCTTCCACCTGGAGGTCCTGATGCTTGGGGTCTCAGAGGTGTGGGCTTGGAGGGAGCACAGTGAACTCCGGGTCCCGGGTTAGTGGCCTGGTACACTTTGTCTGTCCAGACCATTAATTCTTCATGGTAGTCCCAGTCCCTGGTCAACCTGGTGGCACCCTGCCACAACCACCAGGAGGCCGTGGTATTCTGGAGTTAGGCAAACAACTTCCTCTTCCTGGAGGCCTGGACAGACCAGGTCTGGAGAAGATGTGGCGGAGTGGGAGTGTGTGTGTGTGTGTTGGGGGGCGTATTCTGTAAAGCACAGACCAGATGGGTGGTCCCAGGCCAGACCCCCTCCAGCAGCCACAACGGGGAAATGAGGGCAGGGCCTCTGGGGGACAAGGGCTGCGGAGGAGTTCTCTGGGGCAGGCTGGGTTCACATCTTTGGAAGGCATCTGCCAAAGCCTGAGCTGAGACAGGGGAGCTGGGGGAATCCCATGCCCTGCAGAGGGTTGTTGAGACAGTGTGCTCCTGGGAGAGGTGAGGTGTGGGGAGGCAAGACTCTTAAAAGGAGAGATTTTGAGCAAAGCTGTGGATTTGTTGGAATTGTGCCCTCAGGGAATTGGGCTGAGTTTTTGGAGAAAGCGATTAAGGCAGATTTATGGTACCTGGAGAAGTTAGGGCTGTCCTGCCTGGGGTTACACAGAGTTGCTGTGTGACCTTGAGAGTGTGGCCTCTCATCTCTGGGCCTCTAGTGAAATGGGCTGGTTGTGGCCTTCTCTGGGGACAGTCAGGCTGGGGCCAGACAGACTAAGCTGGAGGGCCAGAAGTAGATGGATACTTACTTGAAGGACAGAGTCTCAGAGGCCAGGCCAGTGTCCTGCCGTATCCCAGGACCGTTCCCGACTCCCACAGTTTCCTTGACACAGCTCACTTTCTGGATATATCTCTAGATCCCCTGGGGCCTACTTGGGTGCAGAGATCATAGTCAAAACCAAACCAAACTCACTGTCATTGAGTCATTTCTAACTCAAAGCTGTAAATCTTTACAGAAGTGAATTGCCCCGTCTTCCTTCATGGAGCAGCTGGTGGGTTTGAACCACTGACATTCTGGTTAGCAGTCAAGTGCCTTATCCACTACTCCACCAGAGCTCCTGCTGTTGTTGTTATGTGCCGTCGGGTCAGACCTGACTCATAGCGACCACTCCTTGGGTTTCTGAGGCAGTATCACTACGGAAGTAGATTGCCTCATCTTCCTTCTGAGGAGTGGCTGATGGGTTTGAACCACCAGCCTTCTGATTAGCAGTCAAGGCCTTAGCCACTATGCTACCAGAGCTCCTTGTTGTTGTTGTTGTTATGTGCCGTCGAGTCAGCCCTGACTCATAGCGACCCCTCCTTGGGTTTCCGAGGCAGTATCACTACGGAAGTAGGATTGCCCAACCTTCCTTCCGAGGAGTGGCTGATGGGTTTGAACCGCCAGCCATCTGGTGAGCAGTCAAGTGCCTTAGCCACTATGCTACCAGAGCTCCTAGTAGTGCTATATAACTGCAGAGATATCATGAGGGGAAGATTGGAAACCTGGCTGCCTGGGGAGTGAGGGCCAGAATTTCAGGGTTACCTTGAGCTCTGCATATGAGTGCCCCTCCTTTGGGTGTTGGGATGTAGGGATTTAGGGATGAGGGACTAAGCTGCCAGCACCCCAGGCCCCAGAAGCATCTGGGAAGGACCCTGCTGTGAGTCACACTTGCCCAGGTAACTCTGACTAAGCTTGTTCTGTTAGGATGCCCAATAGCTCATAACAGCACTGGGCAGGTGTGTACTTGGGCCTGTACTTGGGCCTGTTCATCGTGCATTGGGAGTGAGTGACCCTGGCTACAGCACTGATGTCTTTGGGGCTTGGTTTCCTCGTCTGTAAAATGAGTCTGTCTTTCTTTCTTGGGGGACTGTGCTCTGTTAAT